CAGGAATAAAACTTTAACAAGGAGACAGGTCAATAACCAAATGTTTGTTCTGGGACACTGTGCAGCCTAACTCTCTATCCCAAGTTCTTCCACAAAATGCTGTCACGTTAACTAAGCCTTGATACAGATCGTCTGGCACAATAACTTATTATTTAACTATGAGTTCAGGTCTCAATGAGGATGCCAATTATACTCCAGAAAGCTGTTAACACAACTTGCTAATGGACTTCTGCTGTGAAATTCTACCATTAATCATTTCACATAGTAAGTGTGGCATTGGGTTGAGCAGCTAGTCAAGTTAAAGAACATTTTTTTGGTTAACTCCCATAAAACTAGAGTTCACCAATCATGAAAAATGAAAGGACAGTAAAACATTGCCAAAATCTAAAATTAGTCATACCTCAGAAAGAAATAAGTAGTGACTTTAATAATGAAAAAGTTACAAGTTAGGTCACCGAAAAGGGATCCGTCATTTTTCACTGAAATTACCGTCTTGCTATCTAATACAGTACTTCTTTAAAAATACATACAGCTATATTGAAAGCGAGACAGAAGAATAGAGACTATAAGATTGATGATTTGACCTGTTAAATATTAAGATCCATATTTACAGCTCTTCAGCTCTAGGAACTTGATAAGTTTAGACTGGAAAACAGTCATTTTACCCTTAAATCCAAAGGTACAGCACAAGCTCATTTCGGTTTCCAAAAGCATTAGCTACCTGATAATCCACTGTCTTCTGTGAAATGAGCTGACGGTTTCTTAATTCCAGTAAGTACTGTTCACACCAGGAAACAAGAACTGTAAAGGCACCTTTTTAGCAGTCTCAGCATTGAGCTACAAAGCCTGAATGACTTCTGGAAGTTACTGGTCCAGTGGTGCCCATCAACATCTTGATACTACGGTGAAGCAGGAGTAACTTGTTTTGCCATTGTCTGTATCATTGTACTACTGTGACAACATCTCTCATATACCACTTAAAAATGAAAAGAAAGACCAACCAGGGGAATGCCCAGGTTATCTGCATGAGAGTGCTGCTACAAATCAGGATTATTTTTTTTAAACCCAAAGAGAAAACACAAGAGTTATTAAGAAAAGAATTGTCTGGGTATCTACTGGTCATTAAGAAATAGAGGAAACAATCTCCAGCAGGCTTCTTTGTTTTCTTGTAAACAATCAAACCATTTCAGCATCAGGACATTGAATGCACTACCAAAAATATCCTAACTACTCTGCAAGAACATGCACTTCTGCTATAACTGGGGTCAACTAAATCAAAGTGGTGCAAACAGATACCAGAGTGAAGGAGAGGGAAAAAATAGAACTTAAAATCTTTTCTGAGGAAGCAGATTTGAAGTTTGAACAGACTAACAAGTAATTAACTCACATCGTTTATAATAGGAAGTGAAATCAAGCATTATTAAGGATTTCATGCACTGTTAGGCATCCTGAACCAAATTCCATTGTTGCTTACACTTTGAAGAGATTATTTGTGCAATCCCCAGTGATTTCAACACAGAAATTGCCAATATGTTTCTAAAATAAAGATACTGAACTTGAAGCTAGAAGATTCACGATTGCTTTTGCATGTTGGTCTTGTTATTAAAACTTACATTCTCTTAAGCTTCTTGTACTGGGTAAAAGCTCCAGGGGTAATGATTTTGATGAGGTTTTGTTCCAAACGTCTGAAAACAAACGAAGTAATATACATGTTAACTACACAATTGTAGGACAGGAATAACATTAAACATGACAGCAATTTTTTACATCAATATAAAACAATTTTATAGTGTTTCTATGCAAAACAAATTTTTCTTTAGAAAGCCACTAAATGGAGCAAATACTGAGAAAATAACTTTGAAAATAAAATCATCTCACTGATTACATGAAATCCGTATAGAAAAAAGTCACAGGTATAGAAAATGCATCTTTAAAGCTCATGGAATGAATAAAAAATAGTAGGTATATTTTATTGCTGCTTAATCAAAGTTAAGGTAGAAAATACAGATGCTTTCCTTGACTAGCTGTTGTAAACAGAACACAGCTATCTAAACTAAAAGCTATGCTATGTTGTGACAGCTTAATAAGCAGATTAATAATACTATCAGAGCAACTCAGGAGCAATGATCTGTGGGAACACGATGAAAAACAAAGTGGAATTCACTGCAATATGAATCCAGATTTTTAAGGGGGGAGAGTCTATGCTAAAGCAGAGGACTGTATCTTCCTATTTTAACTACCAAATACTGAAGGTGTTCTAAAACGTGGCTGAGACTGCATGAAAGTGCTGTTGTTTTCATTTCTGAGATTTGGTTTGAAAGAAGTATTCTTTATGAAGTATCATAAAGGCGTGTATCACTAACATAAAATGTAAGCAGCTTTAAGATACCGTGTACAGTAACCACTAAGATTAATTTCTGTTCCTTCCCAGAAGTATTTTCAAGTCTTTGTCAGCAAGTTCCCCACAGTCCTCAGATGAACCCTAAATATTCACCTCAATTAGAAATGTAAAAGTAGATCCCCATACAACAAACTCGAATGACCACGGCAGCTAAAATTCTGCAGAGTTGGAACGGAAAGCAAAATTTGATTTTACCTAGCTCTTACTTATTATTCAAACGTTGTGTGTTTTTTCCAAAAATGTCATAAAAAGAAACAGTTTCAACAGCAAAAATCTGTGGTTGGAAATGGTTTAGAATTGAAATACAAAAACATACTGGAATGATGGAATGAATCACTCTAGTCATTTAGAGCTACTGCAGCAATGCAGAGGGGATAAAAATTTTTAAAACCAGGAACGGAGATAAAATGAGATGCAGGGAGAAGTAAATCATGGTTTTAAAGGACTTGGGAATAGTGGAGAAAACGTGTAAGGCCCATCAGCCCTCTACTGCGCAGCGTATCCTTCTGTTGATCTGGGCTTTCAATAGACAAAAGAAAATTCTCCCTGAAAATAAGATATTTTGCCAGCTCAGTTATACTCTAAGAAGCTATTTAAGTCATGAACATTGTGATACTTGCACAGTCAACTCGTACAGTCAATGTGCATGCGCTCTTTTATTTCTGTAGCAGTCTATTTTAAAGGTTGTGATCAGAGTTAATTCTATTCCTTGCTTTGTGATCTGAATTAGTGTCTGAGATTTCCCTTCCAGTTGGTCTAAATATAAAGTGTTTCGTTTCTGGCAAGTCCACAGTGAAATGCAAATTGCTGTAAGCTTCAGCACGCTACTATTGTTGGGTGTTTGTCACCAGAATTAGCAGTACACATACTCTTCCCATAAAGGCTTTTTGTCAGCTTGCCAGTTTGGTGTTTAACTCCTCCCAAGTATTTCTATGCAGACACTTCCAGGAACAAAAGAGGGCCATGCCTGTCTAATTCCCTCGCCTTATGGATGGAAACTGGGGGTTCACACATGCTGCACATAGGTGCAGCATAGCAGTCCTTACAGGGGAACAAAAATATAGCGATGGGGGGAAACATGGCCCGTTTTTACAATCCCTTAAAATTCCAAGGAAATTTTAGTGACTCAAGGGTGGAAATATACACAGAAATTTTGCCCCCAAAGGGCAAAAAAAGCCAGAATTGGAATAGCCACAGATCCTGAGTAATGAGAAAAAAAGAAATTTCTAGAAAAGGTGGAGAGGAATACAGAAAAAGGATTGTTTAAGAGAGCTACCTTCTGAAGCAGTACTGAATCCTTCACCCTTTCCTACAAAATTTGCAGCAGATGGCCTGTACAGAAATAGATGGACAAGGCTGTTGTCATCTGCTGCTGTATTTTCACCTTAGCACCTTACATCTTTTTATTGTATGAAGCTCTTTGCAAATGAAGGACTAAAGACGACACATAACACATTATGATTAGTGCACTTCATTTTGCAGATGCTACCAGAGAAGCAACAAGCAGTACCGTGTGCTCTCATCAGGGTGTGTTTGCAGGTGGAGTCCAACCTGGGCACAAAATGCAGCTGATCTTGGAGCATTTAATAAAGTGCAGCATTAAGTAAGCAGGTATTTTACAAGTATGAAATACTAATCTGACTTCCGTTCATTTTTTTCGTAAATGCATCTTACAGATTGGCAGGCATAGGCTAAAAAACGCAATGAAGTTACACAACTAAAATAGTAGAAAACAAATTATTTGTATTAATACTTTGTGCTTTCACCTCATCTGAGCTCATAAATGATACGTAAAGGACAGTACAGGATTAAAAATCTCTAGGAAGCACTAGGTTTTGCCAGAAGGGGTGTTGGCAATTTCAAGGTGATGAAGGCTTAATTATAAACCAGTGTTACTCATGATATAATGGGAAAGAGGTGCCATCTTTCAAATAAAGTGAAAAACAGAGTTCTTACCTAGTGTTGTCATTTTTTTCTCCAAAAAGTGAAAAGCTAATCTAAATTTTACAGCCACATCTTATTTCAGAGAAAATTACCTCGTTTACCCAGAACATGACCTCTGAAAAACTATTTTTCATGGTCTATCCCTGTACACTATGAAGTGCTGTCATACACTATAAAACCACCTGTGCCAGTGCAAAGCAACACCGGTGAGTTAATTTTTTTTTGTGTATCACCACAATATACGATAAGATAATTTTACAACACATTTGAGAACTTTGTACAAGAGACACAGTCCTGAAAGACGAAATTTTGATCATTTGAGCTACTATTCCCCCACATTTAAGATTTCTTAAAACTCAGCAAAATTTTCCTTGATTTTCCTCTGGTATTTCATAAGAAAACCTATTTAAAAGACTCCACAAGTAGAATTCACAAAGCTGATAAAATAAATTGGCCATGTTCAAACCTCTCAGGGGCTTTTGTTCCTCCTCCCAGCTACCCATTTCACTGTGCCATGTCGCCTGCTGCCAGCTGTATCGCTTAGATGAATTGAAGCATATCGCCCCCCTTCTGACACGCAGCAACGCTCTGTCTTCCTCTTCAAGCTTTATTTTAGAGTCTTTGACAACAACATCAAGGGACAAGAACAATTTCCTTTCTCTAATATATTATCAGAGATTGGAAAGTATAAGGGCCCTACGGATTCAGATGCATTTTTCTTGTAATAACTTGATGCTAGACGGGATAAAGTCCTCCTCCTTCCCACTCTCTTTAAATGACTTTGCAGCAATGAGAGCAAAAAGCAAACATTTCTGAGAACAAAAAACAAAACCAAAACAAACAGGGGCAAACTGTGCAGTTAAATATGAAAAACTATCCCAGAGTAAAGAATAAGCACTCAAATTCCCATGCTAATCCATCTCAAAGTTCCCTGAGGTGCATAGCTTTTCATCACCTCCTCATCTGGCCCCTGTACTGCTCACACCCAGGATGGCAAAACACAAAGGATAAAATCTCTGCCTAATGCAGCCTTCGTAGAGCCAGCTCACGCTCTCAGGAGTGACGAAGCCATTTGTCTTGAAGAGCGATTCCCCCTGCAGAGTGGGGGAGACAGACGTATTAATTTGGGCCTTAACTATCTCTCTCTCACTGAGGGAAAGAAAGAATTTGTTATTTGGGTCTCTAATGGAGCAGTTTGCTAGCAATTTTCCCATTTCAAACACCGTCTCAGCTGCTAATGTGTAATGTTTTGTCAAGCTTACCTACCCATAACATAGACAAATCACTAGCTTGGAGAAAAAGAGAGAGGGAGTGAAGCGTCAGTACTGATAATTCTTAGCTGTCAGATGAATAGAGCCTACAAATGAGACAGCCATGCTCTATTAACAGTGCCATCGAGCTCTTGCCTGAGACGTGTCAGAAACGTCCCTCTGCATTGGGCAGTCATGAACTTCCCTGCTGGGAGAGAGAGAAAGTGAGTGAATGAGCCAGATTGCTCGGGATCACATCGCTCTGCTCCCAGTGCCGGAGCTCTTTTGGGCTTACATCACTCAGGCAGCCAATAACCAAAAGCAGCCTCTGGGAGAGAGAAAGCGTATTAGCGTGCAGCAGTAACCTGTAGCACAGTTGTGTCCGGCAGGATGCACACAACCTGCGTCAACGTTGTTGGGAAGGGCAAACCCCTCGCTTTTCTCCTGCCCTATAAGCAGAGATTTGCAGGGAGCTTGGTAAGGACTGTTTGGGGGAAGTAAGCAGCATGTGTATCCCCCACAGTGACAAAGCCCAGGGCCAGGGAGAGCCGTTTATATTAGGAAGGGGGAAACTTCTAGAGCACGTAACAATCAAGAGAGAGATCGGTTCTCCTTGCCAAGGAGTAAGAACAACTGGATTATAAAAGCTGCTTGGACCATTCTCTTACATTTATCTCGTATTTTGGACTTACATATCTTATCATACATTTTGGACTTTGATGAAGAAAAGTCCACAGATATATTTTCAGTATTTAAGAGGAATAAATCATACTTAAAATCTGGTCGTCTTACTACAAATATGGGCTAGATCTGATCCCTGTCCTGATGCCTTCCTTGCCTCTTCATTTGAAATACAAGCTTCATTCCCACCATGCACAACAGGTTCAGGTAGCTGCACTGCAGTATTTACCCAAAGACAGCCCTGGGTAGGAGGCACCCTTGCTGGGAAGGAAGGAATCCTGCCCTGCAGTTACGCAGTCAGAACCTGCGCTTTATTCTGCAGTGAAAAACGCAGAAGCCGCAGTCACCGCCCTTTACACCACAGCACTGCGGCACCGCACAGGGCACTTCTCTGCAAAGTGCAAGGCAA